TCCGAAAATCACTTGACCCGAAAGACCAGGTGCTTATTTTTTTATTTTTTAAAATAATATATTTTTGATGATAAATTAATGTAAAAAATAAAAATATAATAATTACTTAATGTTATTAAATATAAAAATAAAAATAAAATTTATTAGACAAATATTAATTAAAAACTGTGAAAAAAATAAAAAATTTTAAAAAATAAATTTATCAATAAAATTAAAAAAATCTTAATCCTTAATAATTTGATATAAAAAACTATCTAAATTAATTTTTTTCGATCCATTAATAATTTAAATCCTAACTACTATTCATTAATTTCATACTACTAAATAAAAATTTCTACTAAATATCTTATTTATAACTATCATAAAATATATCGACTTATTAAATACCGGCAAAACCATAAGTTAAGCCCCTGAACTAACCTCAGAATCATTATTAAGTCCCTAGACTTTAATTGATGCAGTTAACCCCTTGAACTCTGGGATCAAAGCAATTAAGCATTTAAGCCCTTCTTCTTAAGCAATTTATTTTAAAAATTAAAGTCTAGGGGCTTAATAGCGTAAGAAGAAGGGTTTAATTGCTTTGATCCCAGAGTTCAATGGGTTAACTGCATCAATTAAAATTTAGGGGCTTAATAGTGATTCTGGGATTAGTTCAGGGGCTTAACTTATGGTTTTGCTTTAAATACTTAACGAATTTGGGCAAACCTACTTATCGCTATCCAAAAAGAATTTATTACCATAATCACGTGGGACCCATCCTCCGACCTTACATGCCGACGATAGCCGCGGGTTTTCCATCGCAATCACACTCATTCATTTGACTTTTTCCTTCAAAAACCTTCAACACTCCACCAAACCGAAAGCGACCCCGAAGCAAATCTCCTCTGGATTCATTCATTCTCCAAAACCCAGAATTCATACTACAAGTCTTGCAGTTTAGACTAGAAATTAACAATCTTTCTCTGAGAATTCTGGGTTTTTCTTTTTTTTTTTTTTGTGGAAATTTTTAGGCTAGTAATTGGGAGCCATGACTTGGTTAAGCACGTATGGTTGTGCGGTTGTGTTACTGGTGGTGGGTTTGGGCTCCGGTAGCTGTTACGGGTTTGGGACGTTCGGGTTTGATATCTACCATCGGTTCTCCGATCCGGTTAAGGGAATTCTGAGCGTTGATGATTTGCCGCCGAAGGGGAGTGTGGAGTACTATGATGCTTGGGCGAAGCGCGACCGGATATTTCATGGCCGACGATTGGCGGCGGCTAATGATCAGACGCCGGTTACGTTTCTGGATGGAAACGAGACGTATCGACTCAATGCTTTGGGATTGTATGTGTCTCTTTTCCTTTTTGAATTACAGTGTGATGAACAAAGATTTTGATTGGAGTAGCGATTTTATTTTTGGAATTTAAATACAGTTTGGGTATATTCGGAAAGAAAATTCGAAAAAGATGTCCTTTTTTCAGTTTTTTCTCTCTCTCTTTTTTTTTTTTGAAGACCACTCTTTTTCTTTTTCTTTTTTTTTTCTTTTCCCTTTATGTTCTGTTTTATCAGCTCACCAATTTACCTAAAACAAAAGGTGTTTTTGGCTAATTGAATGTTTGAGTCTTTTGTTAGCTAATGTTTTTCTTTCTAAATTTGTATCGCATTTCAGCTTGCATTATGCGAATGTCACAGTAGGAACACCAGCTTTGTCATTTATAGTGGCACTAGACACGGGTAGTGACCTGTTCTGGTTGCCGTGTGATTGTTCTAGTTGTGTACATGGGTTAATTTCATCAAAGGGACAGGTATTCTGGTTTTTCACTTTAAATTTTCATTTCTTTAACTTTGTTAGACAGGAGACTGTAGATTTCATTCCCTGCTAGAAAAATTCTATGCTTGGTGAGAACACAGCTATGTTTTGTGTTTTGTTCTATATATATTGTGTTCCATGAATCTTAAATGATTATATAAAAAAGTGCACCTTGATGAACCTAAATTGAATAGAATAGTGGTGCAAGTATGTGTGGTTCTTGTACTTAAGTTGATATATAAAAAGGATATATAACGTTACTAATTTGAGAATATTTATTGTAATCTTTGATCGGCAGAAGATAGAGTTTAACATCTACAGCCCTAATACTTCAACTACTAGCTCAGAGGTTCCTTGTAGCAGCGACTTGTGTGGACAATCCAGGCGATGCTCTTCTCAAGGTACTTGTGAATATCAAGTTCAGTATCTCTCCAGTGGCACTTCATCCACTGGAATCTTGGTGGAGGATGTATTGCATTTAATCACCAATGATGATCAACCAAAACCTGTCAATACTAACATTACATTTGGGTAAGTGACTTCTCTTATGCTACCCTTTTTCTTCATTACAAGTTTTTGTTTATATATTATGATCTCATGTTGCTTTCATTAGAGTCCTTTAGAATACTTCTCATTGTTTATCAGCCTGTCTGATTTAGAAAGTTGTAATTATTATTATCATTTTCTTTTTCTTGCTCTTATGGTTTTGATGTACTACTTTGTTGCAGCTGTGGAAAAGTAGAGACTGGTTCTTTCTTAGATGGTGCAGCCCCTAATGGTCTTTTTGGGCTTGGTATGGACAACATATCTGTTCCCAGCATCCTAGCAAACAAAAACCTTGCTTCAAATTCTTTTTCAATGTGTTTTGGAGCTGATGGGGTTGGGAGAATCAGTTTTGGAGATAAAGGAAGCTCTGACCAAGGAAAAACACCATTTAATATTAGGAAATCACAGTAAGTGATCACTCTCTGATTTGCATAGTGCTGATGACAAGCTTTACTTGACTTTGGTTTTTCTATGGCTTTCTGACTTGGTTTTACTGATTCTTTTTCTGTTGCTAAATACCTTTTCAGTCCAACTTACAATGTCAGCATCACTCAATTAAATGTAGACGGAAATGTTCAAAATCTTGAATTTAGTGCAATTTTCGACTCTGGCACGTCGTTTACATACTTGAATGACCCAGCTTATACACTTATCTCTGAAAGTGTAAGCATTCAAACTTCAAAACAAGTAGCCCTTGCTGTTTTCTGTATTTTATGCATAACTAAGTAATTACTTGATATCTATATTACCTGGCAGTTCAATAAGCTAGCTTCAGACAAGCAGCATACATCCAATTCTGGACTCCCCTTTAAATATTGTTACGACTTGAGGTAATCTATGTTCCCAAGCAGACCAGCTATGCCATTTAGATTTTTGACTTACAAACCTTCAGACAGTAACTTCTTTACTTGGCAGGGCAAATCAAACCAACTTAACATATCCTGGAGTGAATCTGACAATGAAAGGCGGAGACCCTTTTTATGTTAATGATCCAATAGTACTGATCTCATTGCAGGTAATGATTTTCTTTTCAATTCACGTTATCTTAATCCTCTCCTTTAGTGAGTTAAAATTGACTCTCTTAATCCACAGGGTGGAGATGTATATTGTTTAGGCATCGTCAAGAGTGATGATGTGAACATCATTGGACGTGAGTATCTTTATACAATAAATTTGCTTTGTAAGAACTTGCTTTTTTATTGATTGAATGACTTCTCATGGTTTAAATTTTATTTATGGTACTCTAGAAAACTTCATGACTGGCTATCGCATAGTGTTTGATCATGAGAATATGGTACTGGGGTGGAAGGCATCCAACTGTAAGTAACGTTCAACCTCCTGAATTGGCTTTTCAATTCAACTTTATATGTTTTCTCACTCTATTTTCTGAGTTCATTTGTGTCTTGGAGATGGAGAAGGTTAAAGGTTCTAACGTTGAGATGTAATTTTTTCCCGCAGGTTATGATATTAAAGACTCCAACATTGCACCTGTCAAACCACCAACTGACCCACCAACTAAACCACCAACTGAATCACCAACTGCAGTCCCCCCTGCTGTTGCTATAAATCCAGCGGCTAGAACCGGAAATAGCAACAGTTCTCAGATTTCAGGAGCACCACCACCTGTGGCAAGCCATTCACCCCAAACGCATGCCTACACTCTCATCATTCTTCTTATTTCATTGCTTGCCTTTATTTAACCATTCTTTCTCCTTATCCCTCAACCCTGAACCATAGGATCCATAGTTACCGAGACATTGTTTCAGGTATTCAGGAGGCATTTTCAGCTTTCCTTTTATATTTGATTTTTAATGGTTTTAGTGGGGTTATTTTTACACAGGTTGTAAATTTGTTTTGATTATAAACACAGATTGATATGATATAGCATTCTTATAAATAGAATACAATTTTGAATTGATTACACTTGAAATAAAATGTCCCTGTGATCTATGTTCATGGAGTTCAACTGCAAAGGAAACGGAATGGGCCTCCAACCCATTTCAGCATTTTATGCCTGGGTTCTACACCCATTGAAATTATGACTTAAAACTTCTTTTGTCAGTGCTGTTTTTTGCCCCTTTACTATTACAAAAATATCTAAAATATTTACAAAAATTAGTCAAAGTATACTCGTAAAAAATTAATTAAAATTAATTAAGAGTTAAGAAAAATAAAATTACATTTTAAGATAAGGTACTTAGTTAAAAAGATCAGTACCAAATATGGACAATCAATGCCTTACCATAGTTAATAGGGATAGAAATTTACTCTTAAGCTTGCGGAGCTCCGTGATAATGAAGATTTAGAGAATATTTTTCCTTGTAGGGTAGGGATGAGGGCAATTTTTGCTTGCAAAATTTTATGGGGAATTTTTTCTATCCCGCCTATCCCCATCGGATCCATATATAATAAAAATAATAAAAAAACAATCAATATACATTCATTTTAATAAATTCATTGACATTTTTTCAGTTTAACTATTAAAACTATAATAGAAGTACAATCAATTCAGATGATTCTTATATCTTATGTATGTGATTATATTTTTAAGTTTATCTGCTTTTAATATCAAATCAAGAAATAATGATTTTTTTAAGAATGTATTATATAGTATATTAAATTAAAATGTATACCAATCATTGTCTTAAAAAAAATATAAATTTATATTTTTATAAATTATAATGTATTTAAAAAAATATGCACCTGACCCTTCTGATCAAGTGGTCTCCTTGAGGTGCACCGTGCACCCCCTCTTCTCTTTTAGACGGGTTCTAACCAGTCCCATGACAATATTGTTAAAAAAAAAAGTATTTAAAAAAATATAAAACCCAATTAACTTTTAACCAATCCAACCTAAATTGCCCAACCCAATTCTTCTTCCAATTTTGCCCAACCTCAATTCAAATTTCTACTCTCTTTATGTTATTTTTTTTATGGATTTGTATAACCGTATACATTTGCTAAACAACTAGATTATATGTATTTGCTTGTTTTAAATTTTTATTCTCTTTTTTTTTTGGTACATAATTTCTATTCTCTTTTTATTTTTTTTATCTATTACTTTTTTATGGTGTTCGTAAAAATTTTTATTTCTACAAATTTTTATTTTTATACCTCATAAAGCTCCTTTTATGTAATATTATAAAATTTATTTATTAAAAAAATAAAATAAAATATTATAATTTTAATATTCAGCTGACAGTCCATCTACCTGCAGAGGCCCCTTCCATTCTCTGCAGGGATAGGAATTGAGGGCATTTTTTAACTCCAATGAAAAATTCCCACTGGCATCTTCATATCTGTCACTAACAGGGACTGAGATAGGACAGGCAAAAAATTCTCCCTGGCATTTTCATATCTGCCATTGACAGGAACTGGGATAGGGCAGGGAACTGTTGTTGCCATCCCTAGTTGTTAAGGATCATGTAATGAATGCAAATTTTTTTTTACCGAACGGGGTACAAATGATGGGGTGGGGTTCGATCTCAGCTTAAAGGTTGGAGGATGCACTTTTTGAAAGGTTTAAAGCCATCGGACCATTAGGTTTAAGTACGAATGCAAATTTTGTTTTATTGAAGAAAGAGTACTAAATTCTGATGACACTACCGTATGCGAGCAGTCAGGCACAGCTATAAGGACAAAAAGCCTCAAATTTGAGATGCTAAGTGCCTCAAATTTGAAATTCTAACGGAGTACCTTTTCGGATTGTGGTCGAAAGTGTTTTTTATAATGATATAATATTTTTAGGTAAATATGTTTGTTAATTTTTTTAAAATTATAAAAAATCACAATAAATTTATGATAATTTTATATATAAA